TCCCAGCTCCGACACCAGGGTAGCATCCATAAAGCTCTCGTCGGCCCCAGAGTCAATGTGCACCCGGAGAGATTTGGACCGGTCACCCCACAACAGGGTAGCATGGAGAGGGGTACGGGCAATGGAAGGTGGGAAACTCCCAGTACCGCTCACCAGCGTACTCGTACCTACTTGATGAGCATGGGTTTTTAACGGGCAGGTAGCTAAGAAATGTCCCGTAGCTCCACAAAATAGACAGCTCTGAGTGTTAAGTCTGTGTAAGTGCTCAGCAGGAGACAATCTAGCCCCGCCCAGTTGCATGGGCTCCGAAGGAGCCGAGTCGGCAGTCCTCTGTGATTCCCGAGAGAACTCGGGTGACATCGGGTTCACTCTGACATGTAGACTTCGGGGGTTTCCGGGATTCCTCAGAGGCGAGGTGGGAATCGAGGGCGAGCGAGGGCGACAGGGCACAGATTCCCTCTCCCTCTTACATTCTCATAGCCGCCCATCGATCCGGATGGTCAAGGCTATGAGGGAGTCAAGGTCCATGGGCAGCGAGCTCATCTTTGATTACCTCCGATAATCTGTGAAGGAACATGTGGAACAATGCTTCCGGGTTCCAGGCACTCTCAGCCATCAACGTGCGAAAATCCACTGCGTAGTCTGCTACACTACGGGAGTCTTGACATAGCAGCCTACAGGACGGCAGGCAGGCTCGGGGTCAGGGCAGGCAGAATGGTTAGAACTGGGAAAACTAGGAAATAAACACTTGAGAAACAGGAAAACGGGAAAGCACACTGGTAAGACCTGACAAGACAAGACGAACTGGCAAAAGTCAAACAGAGAACACGGGTATAAATGCACTGGGGATAATGGGGAAGATGGGCGACACCTGGAGGGGGGTGGAGACAAGCACAAAGACAGGTGAAACAGATCAGGGTGTGACAAGAACAATTTCAGAATATTCGGGATCAATGAAAGAAAGCCATCTAAATATATTCATATTCGCCTCCATTCCAGCACCAATCGGTAGATTAAAAAAATACTCTGATCTTGTAGATTTAGGCTTAGGAAAGTATTTATGAATCATAAAAAACAAGTCTGGAAAGCCTTTACGCACGAAAGTCAGAAAACGGTGGCTTGATTCAGAAAATTGCCTATTTCAGTTCTTCAACCCATGGTAATGTTGGAAGATTAGTGTAAAAGAATCATAATAGGGAGAATAGTGTACAATAGTAGGCTATAACCTTGTCTATTGCCTGCATCAACCATGGAACTGTGTGATGACACGGCCAAGTATTGCGCCATGCGTCGGGTTCAAACTGTTACGGCTTGGTCTGTGCTCCGCTCAATAACTATTTAATTAGCCTACATTACTTTTTTTTTACTGTTAGTAATGATGCTCAGCAACAACCAAAACGGCCGTGACGGCATTTACAGAGGAAGCAAATGAAGGTAAACAAAACAATGTAAATAAATTGAACAATAATGTAGGTTACACCAACTGAAGGGATCGAACAGTAAATTGGTAGTTGAATATCTGTGGTTATTAGGCCTACTGACGGTCGATACTGATATGTAACATGATAGAAATTGGAGACAGAGAAAGTCGGGGGAGGCTATAATTAAGACATTCGAGAGTGCCCATCCCTGCAAGTTTAAAAAACTCCCTAGTCCTTGCCGATGACAAGCATACCCATAACATGATGCAGCCACCACCATGCTTGATAATATGAAGAGTGGTACTCTGTGATGTGTTGTGTTTGCCCCAAACATAACACTTTGTATTTAGGACATAAGGTTAATTTCTTTGCCACATTTTTTTGGAGTTTTTATTTTAGTGCCTTATTGCAAACAGGATGCATGTTTTTGACTATTTGTATTCTGTACAGGCTTCCTTCTTTTCATTCTGTCAATTAGGTTACTATTGTGGAGTAACTACAATGTTGTTGATTCATCCTCAGTTTTCTCCTATCACAGCCATTAAACTCTGTTTTGAAGTCACCATTTGCCTCAGATTGAAATCCCTAAGCAGTTTCCTTCCTCTCCAGCAACTGAGTTAGGAAGGATGCCTGTATCTTTCTAGTGACAGGGTGTATTGATACACCATCCAAAGTGTAATTATACTGAACAAAAATAGAAACGCAACCTGTAAAGTGTTGGTCCCATGTTTCATGAGCTGAAATAAACGATCCCAAATGTTCCATACGCACAAAAAGCTTATTTCTCTCAAATGTTGTGCACAAATTTGTTTACATCCCTGTTAGTAAGCATTTCTCCTTTGCCAAGATAATCCATGCACCTGACAGGTGTGGCATATCAATAAGCTAATTAAACAGCATGATCATTACACAGGTGCACCTTGTGCTGGGGACAATAAAATAACAAGAAAATGTCAGTTTTGTCACACAACACAATGCCACAGATGTCTCAAGTTTTGAGGGAGCATGCAATTGGCATGCTGACTGCAGAAATGTCCACCAGAGCTGTTGCCAGAGAATTTAATGTTCATTTCTCTACCATAAGTCGTCTCCAACGTCATTGTAGAGAATTTGGCAGTACGTCCAACCGGTCTCATAACCACAGACCACGTGTAACCACGCCACCCCAGGACCTCCACACATCAGGCTTCTTCACCTGCGGGATCGTCTGAGACCAGCCACCCAGACAGCTGATGAATCTGAGGAGTATTTCTGTCTGTAATACAGCTCTTTAGTGGAGAAAAACTCATTCTGATTGGCTGGGCCTGGCTCCCAAGTGGGCAGGCCTACGCCCTCCCAGGCCCACTCATGGCTGCGCCCCTGCCCAGTCATGTGAAATCCATAGATTAGGGCCTAATGAATTTGTTTCTATTGACTGATTTCCTTATATGAACTGTAATTCAGTAAAATCTTTGAAATTGTTGCATGTTGCGTTTATATTTTTGTTCAGTGAAATAACTTCACCATGCTCAAAGGGATATTCAATGTCTGCTCTTCAAATCGCTGCCCTTCCTTGCGAGGCATTGGAACACCCTGTGGTTGAATCTGTGTTTTTAAATTCACTGCTCGACTGAGGGACCTTACAGATAATTGCATGTGTGGGGCACAGAGATGAGGTAGTCAAAAAAAATCAGAGTGAGTCCATTCAACTTATTAAGTGACTTGTTAAGAACATTTTTACTCCTGAACTTATTTGGGGTTGCCATAACAAAGGGGTTGAATACTTATTGACTCAAGACATTTCAGCTTTTTATTTTTTATTAGTTTGTAAAAATTTCAAAAAACCAAATTCCACTTTGACATTATGGGGTATTGTGTGTAGCCCAATGACAAAAAATATTTTAACAAAGTCAAGGGATGTGAATACTTTCTGAAGGAACTGTAGTTCATATCAAATAAAAACACTGAACAATTACAAACCACTGATATTCGCTGTAAATGAACTAACATGACTTTTGAAAAACTTGTCTGATATATCCCTTTATAGGGGGAATTAGCAGAGGAATCTTCCATCCATTAGATTGAATAAATCCATCTCAATCTCAATTCATGTTAGGGATCATTAGTTGTATTCCTTGTTGACCTTTAACAGTTTGCCTGGTTGACCAAACATTATTAATCTGGCTTGTTAGCAGAGAAATTATGATAACGGAATTGGATAAAAAAAGAAACTGATGTATTTCTATCCACATGATGGCAGCAGCATGTACTGTATTTCATGTAAAAGTGTCGGTGGAAAACCCCCATTTATTCAGTGCCTCTGAGAAATGATACAGCACATACTTGTTACAAAAATAATGAATATCCACAGGTTCATACTTGTTCAGTCAAGACACAACAGTAGCCAAGATAGCCCCAGAAATTCAACAACAGGAGGCTAATACAAAGTGTCTTAATAAAATACATCTGGGTTTCCTCAACCATCACAGTCAGCAGTCACTTCAATAGGGATTAGCACCAAATTGAAACATTTTCAAATCCCAATGGTAGGTTATTATGAACTGGATTTTCTTTTTTGATTAACACTTTCCATCAAATTTGTCTCAGCCTCTGCTTTAATGTTAAGAAAGATATAACTTGTGTCTTGGATATAAACATGGCAAATTGTGTGTAGGCTATGTCCAATGAGGACATATAAAAGTTATCTTCACCAAATATAAAATGTCAAGTAAACAGTAAAGTTCTATATGGAATTTAAATAAATCATATTTATAATCACATTGTACATATTTGTGACCTGGTACATAACATTATTGCAATATTATTTTTACAAAAACAATTATCTTGGGAGCAGATATCAATTCACAATTTCTTATCAGAATCTCTTTTGACATGCATTTCTAAAACCACACATGCTTGCAACTTACAGTTTTCCATATTAGGTTAGGAAACTCACCCTTGCCTGTGTAAATGTATGAAATATTCTGTGACTGCTGACTACAATATGGGTTAGGGCATTTGACATTTGTTGTTACCTTTCCAAATCAAATCGTATGTTCTCATATAACTTCATTTCAAAATAAATAACTATTCTCTTCTTTAATTGTAAAATATTATTTAAGAGGTTTCCCCCTTAGTAAAGCACAAGCCTTAAATGAAATGAAAATAAAACAAAAATGTGGAAAACGGTACATAAAAATTGTATAGCTAATTGAATATACCAAATTTGAAGACAGCTTAAAAAGTAACATTGATAAAACCAGAAATAAAAATAAAAACAGACATATCATATACAATATATATTTTTGAATGGATACAATTAAAAATGCTGCCGCAGTTAGCTTCTCTTCTCTTGTTCAACCCCTTGGAAAATATGTGCCAATGCCCTAAGAAAACGGCAAACACCTCTATGTTCGACCCGTCTCTTTGGCATTATGGAAGGGATGAATTAGACAATGGCAAGCTTCTCTGTCAGGCAAGGAGCTGCAGACCCAGTTCATAGGACGTCATGTTTTGGAGGCGTGGGAGGGAGGAATGAGCCTATTTGGACAATTGCATTGCGTTTACTAGGACCAAAGGAACAGGGACGTTTTTTTCTTCTTATTTTTTGGAGTGAGAGAGATAGCTGTTCTCGATACACAGCACTATGTAGGAGCTAGAGCAGCTGCTGGACGACTGTTGTAGGAGCTGGCCGGACTGCAGTGAGGACGCTAGGCCAGTCACTGCGCGGTCTCCTGCCCTCCATGTCTCGCAGTAGTTGTCTGTCTGGCGGTGACCCTCGCTGCTAGAGCCGTGCCAGACCATTTTCTCTGGCCTGAAGGGAAACAAATTGGAATAAAGTATGTTAATCACCTTAGGTACATCCCCTTTTTAGATACATTTTAAGAAATATTTTCCAGTTAGCAGTAAAATTGTAATACAGTGCCTTCACTGTTGGACACTGCATGATGGCTTAAACCCTGGCATATCATACATACAAAGACTACCACTTAGCCTACCACACTTCATAACAAAGGAATTTTGTTTATTACAACACTCATTATAACTAATAAGAAAGTAACTATTTGCCATAAAAAGAAAGATACTGCACAAATAGACTGCCGATTTTAAAACACTTTAGAAAGTGTAACATTTCCTCTGTGTAGTGTGTGATAATATATACACTTTTTGTTACATTTCAGGCCAAGGCTGGGGGGGATATGGACCAGTATTCAAGCTCTTGTAGGCTAAAGATACTGTTTGATGACAAGATATCACTCTGATTGGAAGAATGCTACATGGGACTGCTTCTCTGACTGAACTTCTATGGCTGTAGCATGGCTTGCTAGCAAGCTTTGCTCTGACTAGCTTATTGAGCTGCAAGTTGTGGCTATTGCAATCTAGCTGCTAAAAGTTGGTATCATCTAAAAGGATGTTGTTAGCTAAGTAGCTAGTTAGCTATTTGTGTTTTAGCTTGCATACACAGAGCTGTCAATGTTTGCTTAGCAAAGACGTAAGTAAAAAACGTGCATACCTAGCTACAGTATCTACGTAGCCACCTTACCTCTTTAAACTATAACATTGGCGTAATTTATAACTCACTGAGAATAGTTTGAAAAATGACGTAATTAAGTTGAACACCTCCCCCTAGCTAGCTAGCCAGCAACTAGGATTTTGATGCATTAGATGCACTTTGTAAACACACTTGTTATTTTGTTGTTCCGTGTCTGAGAGACCAACACTCACCATGCACTGTCCCTGAGGATATCTCTACCGTCAAAGGAGTAGATTGGTGCATTTTCCTCCATCCTCCCCTCAGTCTTGCTGAACATAGACTCCCAGCTATTAAACAGCACATGGTCCTAGAGGGAGAGAAAATACACACTCAGTGGCGAGTTTATTAGGTACACCCATCTAGTACCAGGTCGGCCCCCTCTTTGCCTCCAGAACAGCCTGAATTCTTTGGGGCATGGATTCTATAAGGTGTGTCGTTCAAACGTTGCTCAATTGGTATCAAGGGACCTAACTTGTGCCAGGAAAACATTCCCCACACCATTACACCACCACCACCAGCCTGTACCATTGACACCTGGCAGGATGGGGCCATGGACTCATGCTGCTTACGCCAAATCCTGACTCTGCCATCAGCATGAAGCAATAGGAACTGGGATTCGTCGGACCAGGGAATGTATTTCCACTCCTCAATTTCCCAAGGTTGGTGATCGCATGCCCATTGGAGCCACTTCTTGTTTTTAGCTGATAGGAGTGGAACCCGGTGTGGTAGTCTGCTGCAATAGCCCATCCATGACAGATGAGTTGTGCGTTCCAAGATGCCGTTCTGCACACCACTGTTGTATTGCGCCGTTATTTGCCTGTTTGTGGCCTGCCTGTTAGCTTGCACAATTCTTGCCATTCTTCGACCTCTCTCATCAACAAGCTGTTTTTTGCACACAGGACTGCCACTGACTGGATGTTTTTTTGTTTGTCGCACCATTCTCGGTAAACCCTGTCGTGTGTTTAAATCCCAGGAGGCCGGCTGTTTTAGATACTGGAACCGGCACGCCTGGCACTGATGATCATACCACGCTCAAAGTCGCTTAGGTCACTCGTTTTGCCCATTCTAACGTCCAATCGAACAGTAACCGAATGCCTCGATGCCTGTCCGCCTGCTTTACATAGCAAGCCACGGCCATGTGACTCTGTCTGTAGGAGCAAACCATTTCCGTGAACGGGGTGGTGTACCTAATTTTGTTTGTCAGAGAAACAAGGATAAAATGAAAACCCATGGTAGCATTGCATTACTTATTTGATGCTGAACAGTGTTGCATTGAAACAATCTCTAGAATTTCCTGAAATGGTAATGAAGAGGTTACTTCAATAAACTCAATGTCAATTCGGTGTCAGAAGTGGGATCCCAAAGTCTAGACTCATACTTTCTTTAGTATATGTTTACACACCTTGAGGTTTACGATGGGGAGGCTGTCTCTGTCGGACTTGCGAACGATGCTGTAGAGGTCCTGGAGCTTGGAGGACAAGAAAGCCCTGAAGGTGCCCTTCAGGCCCACAGCACGAGCCTGCTGGAAACACAGGAAGTCTGCCCCTCGAATGCCCCGCATGTTGCCCATTTGGGGCGTGTTCAGGGCGATCAGGTGGAGCTGAGCAGAAAACCCCCCAGATTTGAGTTATAAAAACAGCCTGGCTTAGGTTTACACACACTATTTAGATGAGACCATTTGATAGATACATGCTTTCTCTGAAGGCACATTAAATGATGATAAGGTACTCACTCCTGGCCCTGATGTGTGCACGTGACCGGCAGGCTGGGGAACAGGAGGGGGAACAGGTTGTCTCTGGGGTGTGATGGGATATCGGCTTTCGGGCTGGGTGGGATACCTGTTCTCAGGCTGCACGGGGCTATAGCGGCCATCTGTCTGAGGGGGGTACCTAGGGTTAGTCTGAGAGGGGTATCTGGGATCATACTGAGGGGGGTATCTGGGGTCGTGATTGTTGGGTTGAGCGGGCCTGGGGATCTCAATGGGCTGGCGAGGAGGAGGCACGATGGGGTGGGTGGCAGCACCGCCTTGGGAGAATTGTTCAGCTCCATTGTTGGCCGAGTGGTCCTGGGACTGGGGGTAATTGACGACAGGGGGAGGCTGGACTGCCGCTACTTCGTTGTCCTGGAGATTAAGAGCAACAGTGATTAAGTAAGTGAAGTAAGCAAGCCTTGGACAAGTAAGCCTTGTCTGAGCCAGAATGGCCCATAGGGCAGGAGCCTTTCTCCTGATTCTGTAGCGTGAGGCAGCTTGATGTACAAGTACACCCCCTGAACAGGACACTAGTCTAGTCTATCGCAGGGCCTTACCCCCAATCCATCTCCCTAATGCTGAGTGCCAAGCATAGAAGCATCGGGTACCATTTTTAGAGTCTTTGGTATGACTCGACTGGAGATCAAACCCCCATCCTTCCAATCTCAGGGTGGACACTCTAACCACAAGTCATTTGAGATGACAAGTCATCCTTGATTTTATGACTGACTTTGTTAATTCATTATTATCATTAGCTATTTATTAAATAAGTTGATACATAGTTTTTGTTTTATTTACTCATTTGCATACAACTTACCAGATCTCTGTAGAAGGGACTGTAGTCACTGAGCTGGAATATAATAAGAATATGAAAAAAGTGCATGAAAAAAGTGCATAATCCTTTTTGCAGAGTACACTTTTAGTCTGCACTACATCTCCATCTCCTACCTTACTAACACGTCTCACATGAAAGAAAAATGAATGACTTTACCATGATTTGTCTGAATCCATCGCGGACTCGGATGTAGAGATCGGTTTTATCGACAATGTAGATGAGTGTGCCCTCCGACTGCCGCCTTGCAGTAGCAATCATGGTGTCGTAGGACCTCAAAACTGTCACCTGGGGAGACCAGTACATATTATAGTACATATACAAGACTGCAGGCATCAATCAGAAAAACAAACAGTGAATCTTAGTAGTTATGATGAATACATTCACTTTCAACCATAAAAAACCCACAACATCATGTAAAATACACCTTTACAATCTTTGCATCTGCTTTTTTTCTGAGGTCCTTTGCAATCACTCCACTGAATCCACATAACTGAAAACAGCAATCTCTGGTTTATGGTACATTACCACCTTTGGGCATGGTAGCCATCTAACAGAATGGTTAAACCTATGTCGAACCGTGAGATGACCACTTACCCCTGAGGTGTGACCAGGAGTTCCAGGTGGTCCAGCAGGTCCGGGGGGACCAGGAATACTAATAGCTGTGATGAAGAAGGAAATATAATGATGAGGATGATCACAATAAAATATCGCTGCTTCTTAGAGTGTCAAGCACGTTGTATACTATCCCAAGATTAGGTTAAGGAGTGTATGCAAGCCTACCGTTACTCCTTAATGTCCAAGGACCATATGTTATGTTCAGAGGTAGACTGGCTCTGGCAGCCAAAACAGCCAAATACTCCATCGAAACGTGAATGGATTCTCAATTGCTATACGGTTCTAGAAACATAAAGCCCTTTCATATCACATCTAAATAATTTCACAAATGCAAAATATACACTTTCTGTATGTACACTGTTTTAACACAGTTGCTGCTAACAGTATTTTTCAGTAACACTTTTCTGGTGTCCTTCTTCCGTTATACACAGGTGTTCGGAGCCCGCTAGATAGCTAATTAGCACAGGTGGTTGCCTCTGTCTCCCTTAAACAAGTGCTGTAACATGGAAATACAATATGTCCATGTGGGAACCCTATAAAGGTGTGTAGTAATTTAACAATTTTTTATTATTTATTATTTCTCGCTGATATGAAAGTTAAGTTCCAAATGTTTCCAAAACCGTATTGCAAGAGAGACGTATTGACGTTTAGACAGAGCTTTGGGGCACCGTTGTAGCGTTGGTGCATTGCCCACGGCCGGCAGACATGATCGTGAATAGACATATGTTTAACATTACCATCTATGAATGGGCTAGTGGTGTACCTCACTCCATTCTACCACCAACGTAAAATGAACCTTGGGTGTATACCCTATTGAATAATGTATTTTGACATTGTGTTTGTCACTGGCTAGGAAACTCACGGTGGGTAGGTCTGTAGGCCCCTGGTAGTGAGTTGGACCCTGGGGGCCCGGGAGGACCTGGTGGGCCTGGGTTTCCTGGACGACCGTCGTAGCCAATCCCTGGGGAGCCTGGTGGGCCCTGGGGACCAGGAGGGCCCGTGATGGAATCTCCCTTTGGACCCTGTGATGAAAAATTGAGAAAATAACATTTAACTTTACTTGTGCCCAATTTATTATAAGGCTCTCTTTCTATTGTTGTTAGCAAGATATGAGAGATATCGTAAGGAGTCTTAATGACTGATTTCAGGCTGTGACAAGTTCCTTTAAACAGGCATGATATGTATCTATACATATCGATTGTTGAATCGTACAGTTTCAATGTTTTATCATTTGACAAACACATATGCCAGGAGATGTGTGTTGACTAGTATTTTCCTAACAAATTCATATATGATGTAATGTCCTCTCAAGTTCTTACTCTAAGTCCTGGGTTTCCAGGGGGTCCTGGTGGACCTTGTTGTCCTCCGAAACGGGGGTCAAAATAGCCACCACTTGGCTCTCCCTTCTCCCCCTTCACACCTGTATCTCCGCGCTCTCCTTTCAGGTCATTCTGCAAAGAAAAAACAGCTATAAATGCTCTGTCCTGGCTTTATAGCATTATGTAGAATAATAGCATTGAGAATCTGGACTGGCAATAAAGGTCTCTTTACACCAAATCAAAGTGGTGAGAGAAATAAAAAGGCAAAATGGTTTGTTAAATGTGTTACGCCGTGTATAACTTTCCATTTTTATAGTTTACTTCGCTACTTGAGTCTCTCTCCGCTCTCTCTCTCCATGTTGCTTTCCACAAAGACCTAGCCCCGCCCCCTCTCATTCAAGGAGCGCATTTGTTGTTCCTCGACCACGAGACGTTCAGTCTGCATGGTCAACGCAACACATGCAACAATGTTAATGACAACAATGCTGTTTTCACGTTGCTTCTTAATATAAATCCACTAGCGTTCTATAATTACACTATTCATTTGTGTTTCTTACATCTGCAAACAGCTAGTTTGTCTTTTCTTAGCAAGTTAGGCCTAAATCTTGTTAGCCGCTAATTGTTAGCCGCTAATGCTAATCGCTAGCTAGCTAATACATGTATTGAGTCAGAGCAAACGTAATTAGCTATACAGCCTGATAATACCAGTGATGGTGTAGACCTAAATCAGAATGTTGTTTGTGCAACAGTATCTTCTAAATCAATGAGGAATTAAGCGAAGCAATCATATGTTGGCTACATGAAGTAGCTAAGAGAAAACATTGAATGTATATTATAGGGACCCCTAGGAAACACTTTTCAACACTTTGGATCCTACCCTGTCACAATAACTCCTTCCTGGCATTTTCATTAATTGTCATGTCAAACAACACTGTATTCAAAGTGCACACTATTATATTCTAACTATAGAATTAGAATAATCATTCTATTTCCATGATTCCAACAGTTACCCAAGTGTTTTGATCTAAATCGCAACTGCAACATTTGGTTAAAAATAAGGCCTAGATTGTTTGCCATATTGTGCAGCCCTACGCGGCAATGTGGAAATGATCTCAAATGAGTGCAGGAAATGCAGAAATGGATGAAATGCTGACAATAATTTTAGTTTTAGCTTGAATTGAACAGTATAAAACAATACATATGCATTCTTCAAGGCAAAACTGCTCCAAGTTGGATGGGTTCCACTGGAGTACAGCAATCTTTAAGTCATACCACAGATTCTCAATTGGATTGAGGTCTGGGCTTTGACTAGGCCATTCCAAGACATTTAAATGTTTCCCCTTAAACCACTCAAGCGTTACTTTAGCAGTATGCTTAGGGTCATTGTCCTGCTGGAAGGTGAACCTCCGTCCCAGTCTCAAATCTCTGGAAGACTGAAACAGGTTTCCCTCAAGAATTTCCCTGTATTTAGCACCATCCTTCATTCCTTCAATTCTGACCAGTTTCTAAGTCCCTGCCGATGAAAAACATCCCCACAGCATGATGCTGCCACCACCATGCTTCACTGTGGGGATGGTGTTCTTGGGGTGATGAGAGGTGGAAATTCTATTTTAGATGGTGTCAGCATACTTATTTTAATTAATTTTGGAGTAGAATGTCCTTTTAAAAAGTCACCAGAACTGAGCTTCTGTCTTTCTACATAAAAATTATAGGAGTGGGGACCCCCCCCCCCCCTCTCTGCGACCTTTTCCCCCCACTGCTACACATTTTTCCAGAGGAAACACTGCGAGCTACTCATAAAGCAAATTTTGAACTTGTATTATTCAAAAACATAAAAACATATAGTCAAATATCATGAAAACATATAGTCAAATATCATACAAACATATAGTCAAATATCGCCATAGCGTCCAATTTGTTTTAAATACCGTGATATTATATTTTGGCCATATTGGCCAGCCCTAAACTAGACTGTGGAAAAGTACAGAATAGACAGTGGAAAAGTACAGAATGTTCAAAAAGGAACAGAGAATCTGTATATTGAGACACAAATAACTTATTCTTTATACATCTTCCATCCTAACAGTAGTCCTATTAATTGCAATACTTTCATACCTTGAATGTAAAAATGTCGAAGTTAGAGGCCACACCTGTAACAAAATGACAAAATATCACGATAAGCATACAGGTTGAATTGTAGCCTAAAGACAAAACAAAGTAGTTGTTATTATCCCTGTACTAACTGTGCTATATTGAGACATACGTCTTACCTGGCGGTCCTGTGAGACCTGGAGCTCCGGAATCACCTTTCTCCCCCTTTGTCGCTACAAAAACCAGAGAACATGTAAAAAAATATATAGATTGTAGAAAACAAATAAATATAATTTGTATCACTATTTTGTAATGGATGTCTGCACTACCCATGCCCAATGGCAGTCAAATGTAAATTTGTATGGGCTAATGGAATGGATCGTGATGTCTAAATTACAGCTTGACTGCGTTATTTGACGTTCCAGTTTTTCAGTTAATTCCCCAAATCTAGGTGCTTTTGATGAAAGCGTTAGCCTAATCTCTTGACAGTAGAGTGATCATGAATTCCGCTTTCTTCAATAGCTAAATCAAACTGAAGGTAGATGGGGAACGGTTTGTCTCCTTAAAGAATAAAAACTGTCTAACTCCTCATTTTGTTGACTGCTAGGTACAGTGCATTCGGAAAGTATTCAGACCCCTTCCCTTTTTTGTTACCTTATTCTAAAATGGATTCAATATTTTTTTTTTTCATCAATCTACACACAATACCCCATAATGACGAAGCCAAAACAGGTTTCTATAATTTATTTCAAATAAAAAAACTAAAAATACCTTACTTACATAAATATTCAGACGCTTTGCTATGAGACTCGAAATTGAGCTCAGGTGCATCCTGTTTCCATTGATCAGCCTTGATGTTTCTACAACTGGATTGGACATGATTTGGAAAGGCACACACCTCCACACTGTCTATAAGGTCTCACAGTTGACAGTGCATGTGAGAGCAAAAACCAAGCCATGAGGTCGAAGGAATTGTCCGTACAGCTCCGAGACAGGATTGTGTCGTGGCACAGATCTGGGGAAAGGTACCAAACAATATCTGCTGCATTGAAGGTCCCCAAGAACACAGTGGCCTCCATCATTCTTAAATGGAAGAAGTTTGGAACCACCAAGACTCTTCCTAGTGCTGGCCACCCGGCCAAACTGAGCAATCGGGGGAGAAGGGCCTTGGTCAGGAAGGTGACCAAGAACCCGATGGTCACTCTGACAGACCTCCAGAGTTCCACTGTGGAGATGGGAGAACCTTCCAGAAGGACAACAATCTCTGCAGCACTCCACCAATCAGGCCTTTATGGTAGAGTGGCCAGATGGAAGCCACTCCTCAGTAAAAGGCACATGACAGCCCGCTTGGAGTTTGCCAAAAGACACCTGAATACTCTCAGACCATGAGAAACAAGATTATCTGGTCTGATGAAACCAAGATTGAACTCTTTGGCCTCAATGCCAAGCGTCACATCTGGAGGAAACTTGGCACCATGCCTACAGTGATGGCAGCATCATGATGTTTTTCAGCGACAGGAACTGAGAGACAGGATCGAGGGAAAGATGAACGGCAGAAAATACAGGGAGATCCTTCATGAAAACCTGCTCCAGACAGCTCAGGACCTCAGACTGGGGTGAAGGTTCACCTTCCAACAGGACAACGACCCTAAGCACACAGTCAAGACAACGCAGGAGTGGCTTCGGGACAAGTCTCTGAATGTCCTTGAGAGGCCCAGCCAGAGCCCGAACTTGAACCTGATCTAACATCTCTGGAGAGACCTGAAAATAGCTGTGCAGCGACGCTCCCCATCCAACCTGACTGAGCTTGAGAGGATCTGCAGAGAAGAATGGGAGAAACTCCCCAAATACAGGTGTGCCAAGCTTGTAGCGTCATACCCAAGAAGAGTCAAGGCTGTAATCGATGCCAAAGGTGCTTCAACAAAGTACTGAGTAAAGGGTCTGAATACTTATGTAAATGTTATATTTCAGTTTTATATTTTTAATACATTTGCAAACAAATTCTAAAAACCTGTATGCCCATGCGCCGAGATTGAATCCTCTGTCTTCGAGATGTTTCATCGCTAGGTATAACGTTTGATGTAAAAACAACAAATCATTGTCAGCATACCTGGATAATTCCTTGAGGCGTCATATCCCTGCAATACATAGGAAATGGCACATTTAAACATTTTCCAGTATTTGCACACAAACATGATATCCTGTTTCCTATATTGGACAAGTCAAACTTGTCTCTCCATGTTTCAGTCTGTGTTCTTCCGTTTGGTGCTGAATGAACACAACTCTGGTTTTGTGTGTTAGGATTCTGATAGACTCACGTTGAAGCGGTCCACAGTCACAGCTGGTCCGGGTGGTCCTGGCGGCCCGGGTGGGCCTGGGACACCCTGAAAACAGAAGACATTAAGTTTGTATTAAAAGCTCATTTGAATCTCCTCTATAAGACAGTGCACTTCCATCGTATCGTAAACAGGCCCAGTACATTGTTATATGCGCATGTCACACTTACTGGGTAGCCAAATCCAGCTCCTGTGGATGGCTCTCCTTTTTCACCCTTGTATGCATTCACACCAGGACGACCCTGTAGGAAACAGACATAGATAGTTAGATACTATGAAGGCCTTACGCAAGGAGCATTCACTAGAGAGAAATACTACTAGTAGTAGTAGTTGTTGTAGCATTCCATATCGATACTTCCCTAACTTGTGCATAATTACACACCAACTGGCAATAGATGTTATGTAACATTGAATCATTCCACACCTGTTCAAATCAAGGAAACATTTGTACCACTTTCAAGCAATTACACCATTGATACCAAAGAGACTTGAATTCCAAATGTGACCTTTTTTTGTCATGCTACTGAGCACCTACTGTAATTGTAAAGTTCTAAAGTCAGCTCCAGTACTTACAGGTCTTCCGGGCATTCCAAATTCACCCTTTATCCCAGGAGGACCATCCTGCCCCTGTACAAACAACAATACATCAATCATATGAGACCCAAACACAAAACACATTGACTCAAAAATTATTTTTGAGAGGGATCAGTGATATACCGTGCCTTGCAAAAGTATTCATACCCCTTGAATTTCTTCACATGTTATTGTGTTACAAAGTGGGATTAAAATGTATTTAAATTGTACTTTTTGTCAACAATCTGCTCAATTTATTTCCTCTTTTTTTTTTCTCGGATTAATAACAATTAGATAACTAAAATAGTTGTTGCATAAGTATTCAAACTATTCAGCCCCTTTGTTCAGGCAACCCTAAATTAATTCAGTAGTAAAAATTGGGCTTAATAAATCACATAATAAATGACATGGTCTGTGTGAAATAATAGGGGTAGACATGATTTTTGTACGAGTAACCCTTTTCTCTGTCCCCGATACATTTGTAAGGTACATCAGTATTGTATTGAATTCAACTACAAAGACCAGGGAGCTTTTCGAAAGCCTCAAAGGACAGTGATTGGTAGATGGGTAACAATAACAAATCAGACATGGAATATCTCTTTAAGCATGGTCAAGTTAATAATTATGCATCAAAGATACAGTCGTCCTTGTGAACTGAGCTGCAAGACAGGAATTAAACTGCTCAGGGATGTTACCATAAGGCCATTGGTGATTGTAAAACAGTTACAGAGTTAAATGGCTGTGTTGGGATCAACAACATTGTAATGACTCCACAATAATGAATTAAATGACAGAGTGAAAAGAATAATACAAATATACAGAATAGAAATATACCAAAACAAGGCACTAAAGTAATACTGCAAAAAAACACAGCAAAGGATTAAACTTTTTGGACAAAATGCAAAGCCATATGTTTCCGGCAAATCCAACGCAACACATCACTGAATAACTAGAGTTGAAGTCAGAAGTTTACATACACCTTAGCCAAATACATTTAAACTCAGTTTTTCACAATTCCTGACATTTAATCCTTGTAAAAATTCCCTGTCTTAGGTCAGTTAGGATCACCACTTTATTTTAAGAATGTGAAATGTCAGAATAATAGTAGAGAGAATGATTTAATTCAGCTTTTATTTATTTCATCACATTCCCAGTGTGTCAGAAGTTTACATACACTCAATTCGTATTTGGTAGCATTGCCTTTAAATTGTTGAACTTGGTTCAAATGTTTCGGATAGCCTTCCACAAGCTTCCCACAATAAGTTGGGTGAATTTTGGCCCATTCCTCCTGACAGAGCTGGTGTAACTGAGTCAGGTTTTTAGGCCTCCTTGCTCGCACACGCTTTTTCAGTTCTGCCCACACATTTTCTATAGGATTGAGGTCAGGGCTTTGTGATGGCCACTCCAATACCTTGACTTTGTTGTCCTTAAGCCATTTTGCCACAACTTTGGAAGTATGCTTGGGGTCATTGTCTATTTGGAAGACCCATTTGCGACCAATCTTTAACTTCCTGACTGATGTCTTGAGATGTTGCTTCAATATATCCACATAATTTTCCTTCCTCATGATGCCATCTATTTTGTGAAGTGCACCAGTCCCTCCTGCAGCAAAGCACCCCCACAGCATGATGCTGCCACCCCGTGCTTCACGGTTGGGATGGTGTTCTTCGGCTTGCAAGTCCCCCTTTTTCCTCCAAACATAACGATGGTCATTATGGCCAAACAGTTCTATTTTTGTTTCATCAGACCAGAGGACATTTCTCCAAAAATTAAGATCTTTGTCCCCATGTGCTGTTGCAAACCGTATTCTGGCTTTTTTATGGTGGTTTTGGAGCAGTGGCTTCTTCCTTTCTGAGCGGCCTTTCAGGTTATGTCGATATAGGACGTGTTTTACTGTCGATATATATACTTTTGTACCCGTTTCCTCCAGCATCTTAACAAGGTCCTTTGATGTTGTTCTGGGATTGATTTGCACTTTTCGCACCAAAGTATGTTCATCTCTAGGAGACAGAACGCATCTCCTTCCTGAGCGGTATGACGGCTGCGTGGTCCCATGGTGTTTATACTTGCATACTATTGTTTGTACAGATGAACGTGGTACCTTCAGGCGTTTGGAAATTGCTTCCAAGGATGAACCAGACTTGTGGAGGTCTACAATTTTTCTTCTGAGGTCTTGGCTGATTTCTTTTGATTTTCCCATGATGTCAAGCAAAGAGGCACTGAGTTTGAAGGTAGGCCTTGAAATACATCCACAGGTACACCTCCAATTGACTCAAATGATGTCAATTAGCCTATCAGAAGCTTCTAAAGCCATTTTCTGGAATTTTCCAAGCTGTTTAAAGGCACAGTCAACTTAGTGTATGTAAACTTCTGACCCACTGGAATTGTGATACAGTGAATTATAAGTGAAGTAATCTGTCTGTAAACAATTGTTGGAAAAATAACTTGTGTCATGCACAAAGTAGATGTCCTAACTGACTTTCCACAAATTTCTGTTTAACAAACGACAGTTTTGGCGAGGTTGAAAAACAAGTTTTAATGGCTCCAACCTAAGTGTATGTAAACCTCCGACTTCAACTGTACCTCCTTATTTTCAAGCATGGTGGTGGCTGCATAATGGTATGGGTATGCTTGACATCGCAAAGACTGCAGAGTTTTTCAGGATAAAAAGAAACGGGATGGAGCTAAGCATAGGCAAAATCCTAGAGGAAAACCTGCTTCAGTCTGCTTTACACCAGACACTGGGAGAGGGATTAACCTACAACAAAAGGCCAAATCCACACTAGAGTTGCTTACCAAGAAGACAGTGAATGTTCCTGAGTGGCCAAGTTACAGTTTTGACTTATATCTGCTTAAAAATCTATGGTAAGACATGAAAATAGCTGTCTAGCCATGATCCCCAACATCTTGACAGAGCTTGAAGAATTATGAAAAGAATAATAGGATAATATTGCACAATCCAGGTGTGTAAAGCTCTTAGACTTACCCAAGAAGACTCACAGCTGTAATCACTGTCAAAGTTGTTTCTAATATGTGTTGACTCAGGGAGCTGCATACTTATGCAGTGACTATATTGTAGTTATTTAATTTCCAGCTATCTTTAATAAATGTAAAACAAATCTTCCATTTTCACAGAGTATGTTGAGCAGATTGTTGACGAGCAATTGACAAAATGCATTTTAATCCCACTTTGTAACACAATAAAATGTGAAATCCAAGGGGTATGAATACTTTTGCAAGGCAATATACATGGCAGCTGAATTAAGGCAAGGTAAACTCAGCTATATGCGTTTACCATGAGGAACGGGGCGACTTCTGACACAAACAAAGACTGCGTGAAGCGAGAGGCTGAACTCATCAGCATTTGTTGTCACGTTGCATAAGAGAGAAGTGAACTGTCGTGCACATGTCCAGATGCTTAACAGTATCTGTGTTGGTGCTGACAAGGGCAACCACTTGCCTCACACTCTCTCTTGACAACATCTCTGACTCTGCTGTTGCTTGTGAACAGTGTTGGGGGTAACGCGTCACAAAAGTAACGCTCTACATAATCACATTACTTTTAATGAGTAATTGGGTAATATTATTACAGATACTTTGTCAACTAACTTTCAAAATCATATCTCTCAAGCGAGTGGAAAAAGGCTGTTCGGAGAAATGTCATGATAGCTGCCTCCATAAAAATGTGTAGAGGGTGCACCTCTCATTTCCGAAGCCTATAGAGGCCTTCCAGTCTAGTGGCAAGTGTGCCCTCTATACACCTCTATGGGTCCGTGAACATGCGGTCTATAACCAGAACTGGCGGCTCGAGAGAAAGATTTTGAATGAAAATATAGGAAATCTGTACAAATGTTTGGCTTACAGTGCAATCGGAAAGTATTCAGACCCCTTTACTTTTTCCACATTGTTACTTTACAGGCTTATTCTAAAACGGATTAAATAGTTTTTTTCCCTCAATCTACAGTTGTGGTCAAAAGTTTTGAGAATGACACAAGTATTGGTCTTCACAAAGTTTGTTGCTTCAGTGTTTTTAGATATTTTTGTCAGATGTTACTATGGTATACTGAAGTATAATTACAAGCATTCCATAAGTTTCAAAGGCTTTTATTGACAATTACATTAAGTTTAAGCAAAGAGTCAATATTTGCAGTGTTGACCCTTCTTTTTCAAGACCTCTGCAATCCGCCTTGGCATGCTGTCAATTAACTTCTGGGCCACATCCTGACTGATGGCAGCTCATTCTTGCATAATCAATGATTGGAGATTGTCAGAATTTGTGGGTTTTTGTTTGTCCACCCGCCTCTTGAGGATTGACCACAAGTTCTCAATGGGATTAAGGTCTGGGGAGTTTCTTGGCCATGGACCCAAAATATAGATGTTTTGTTCCACGAGCCACTTAGTTATCACTTTTGCCTTATGGCAAGGTGCTCCATCATGCTGGAAAAGGCATTGGTCGTCACCATACTGTTCTTGGATGGTTGGGAGAAGTTGCTCTCAGAGGATGTGTTGGTACCATTCTTTATTCATGGCTGTGTTCTTAGGCAAAATTGTGAGTGAGCCCACTCCCTTGGCTGAGAAGCAACCCCACATATGAATGGTCTCAGGATGCGTTACTGTTGGCATGACACAGGACTGATGGTAGCGCTCACCTTGTCTTCTCCGGAACAAACTTTTTTCAGGATGCCCTTAACAATCGGAAAGGGGATTCATCAGAGAAAATGACTTTACCCCAGTCCTCAGCAGTCCAATCCCTGTACCTTTTGCAGAATATCAGTCTGTCCCTGATGTTTTTCCTGGAGAAAAGTGGCTTCCTCCCTGCCCTTCTTGACACCAGGCCATCCTCCAAAATGATTTGCCTCACTGTGCGTGCAGATGCACTCACACCTGCCTGCTGCCATTCCTGAGCAAGCTCTGCCACTGGTGGTGCCCCGTCCCGCAGCTGAATCAACTTTAGGAGACGGTCCTGGCGCTTGCTGGACTTTCTTGGGCGCCCTGAAGCCTTCTTCACAACAATTGAACCTCTCTCCTTGAAGTTCTTGATGATCCGATAAATGGTTGATTTAGGTGCAATCTTACTAGCAGCAATATCCTTGCCTGTGAAGCCCTTTTTGTGCAAAGCAATGATGACGGCACGTGTTTCCTTGCAGGTAACCATGGTTAACAGAGGAAGAACAATGATTTCAAGCACCACCCTCTTTTTAAAGCTTCCAGTCTGTTATTCTAACTCAATCAGCATGACAGAGTGATCTCCAGCCTCGTCAACACTCTCACCTGTGTTAACGAGATAATTACCTGACATGATGTCAGCTGGTCCTTTTGTGGCAGGGCTGAAATGCAGTGGAAATGTTTTTTTGGGATTGCGTTCATTTTCATGGCAAAGAGGGACTTTGCAATTAATTGCAATTAATCTGATCACTCTTCATAACATTCTGGAGTATATGCAAATTGCCATCATAAAAACTGAGGCAGCAGACTTTGTGAAAATTAATATTTCTGTCATTCTCAAAACGTTTGACTGTACACACAATACCCCATAATGACAAAGCAAAAACTGGTTTTTAGAAATGTTTCCAAATGTATTTAAAATAAAAAATGTAAATATCACATTTACTTAAGTATTCAGAACCTTTACTCAGTACTTTGTCTAAACACCTTTGGCAGTGAGTATTTGGGGAGTTTCTCCCATTCTTCTCTGCAAGTCCTCTTAAGCTCAGCCAGGTTGGTTGGGGAGCGTTGCTGCACAGTTATTTTCAGGTCTCTCTAGAGATGTTTGATCGGTTTCAAGTTCGGGCTTTGGCTGGGCCACTCAAGGACATTCAAAGACTTGTCCCGAAGCCACTCCTACGTTGTCTTGGCTGTGTGCTTAGGGTTGTTGTCCTGTTGGAAGGTGAACATTCACCCCAGTATGAGGTCCTGAGCGCTCTGGAGCAGGTTTTGATCAAGGATCTCTCTGTACTTTGCTCCATTCATCTTTCCCTCCATCCTGACTAGTCTCCCAGTCCCTGCCACTGGAAAACATTCCCACAGCATGATGCTGCCACCACCATGCTTCACCGTAGGGATGGTGCCAGGTTTCCTCCAGACGGGACTCTTGGCATTTCTCATGGTCTGAGAGTCTTTAGGTGCCTTTTGACAAACTCCAAGCAGGCTGTCATGTGCCTTTTACTGAGGAGTGGCTTCCGTCTGATGGAATGATCAATGGAAACAGGATGCACCTGAGCTCAATTTCGAGTCTCATAGCAAAGGGTCTGAATACTTACGTAAATAAGGTATTTTTTATTTTATTAATCCCCTTTTTCCCCAATTTCGTGATATCCAATTGATAGTTACAGTCTTGTCCCATCGCTGCAACTCACATATGGACTCGGGAGAGGCGAAGGTCGAGGGCCATGCGTCCTCCGAAACACAACCCTGCCAAACCACACTGCTTCTTGACACACTGCTTGCTTAACCCGGAAGCCAGCTGCACCAATGTGCGGGCAGAAACACCGTACAACTAGCGACCAAAGTCAGCTTGCAGGCACCCGGCCTGCCACAAGGAGTCGCTAGAGCGTGATGGGACAAGGACATCCTGGCCGGTCAAACCCTCCCCTAACCCGGACGACGCTGGGCCAATTGTGCGCCGCCTCATGGGTCTCCCGGTCACGGCCGGCTGTGACACTGCCTGGGATCGAACCTGTGTCTGTAGTGACGCCTCAAGCACTGCGATGCAGTGCCATAGACCGCTGCGCCACCGCTGTGTCATTATGGGGTATTGTGTGTAGATTGATGACGGGAAAAATGTATTTAATACATTTTAGGCTGTAACGTAACAAAATGTGGAAAAAGTCAAGGGGTCTGAATGCTTTCCGAATGCACTGTATGGCTAATTAAGCAGCCTATATGATTGTGCAGCACTTGAAAGCAGCACCACAAATGCTAGTGATAAAACCTGAGTTAGTAAATAGCCTATCTTTGGTAGAGTGTGTGGCTCACCTTGCTCACTCCGATTTAGATTTTTTTAATGAAAGTAACGCAAAGTAATATAATTAGTTACTTTCCATACAAAGTAATATTGTAAAGTAACGCTTTACTTTTGTTAAATGTAATGAGTAATATATAATCCCAACATTGCTCATGACCACGTCAGTTTAATTTAAGGCAGCTTCAAATGGCAAGACTGTAATGTCAAGTAATAAGCCTAAAAGTACTTACAGGAGGCCCAACAGGTCCGGCAGGTCCTCTGTCACCCTACAAAAGACGGAGAGTTGGTGTTTAACTCGGCTTGAAGGCCAACACACAGATAAGACCAAGCCAGACAGAAGTGTAGGGCAGACCCCGAAGTCACTCTTCTTATCAACTGTATACAAGAATTTCCTCTGTGTTGTCTTAGGAATTCAGCATTCTCTGTGTTGTCCTTGCAAACCCCCATTGTCTCACCTCTGAGAAGCAGAGGTTACATCATGTAGTCTGATATCTGATTGGAGGTTAACTTTACAGCAGTAATACTAGAGTGTGCAAAGCTATCATCAAGGCAAAGGTGGCTACTTTGAAGAAACTCAAATATAAAATATATTTTGATTTGTTTAACACTTTTTTGGTTACTACATCATTCCATATGTTATTTCATAGTTGATGTCTTCACTACTATTGTACAATGTAGAAAATAGTAAAAATAAAGAAAAAGCCTTGAATGAGTAGGTGTGTCCAAACTTTTGACTGGTAGTGTATACTATATATACACGTCAAATATTACTGACTACAGAAGTCAATAGTGAGACGCTCACCTTCTCACCCGACAATCTTCCCAGGTACAAAATATTCCCATCAGGCCCAATGATTGAGCCAGGCTCGCCTTTCTCGCCCTGGGAAGAGACACATATAAGAAAAGAGAGAAACCGGCTCATTTGTTAACCGAAGAAACACTTGCTGGGAATGGGCCTAACTCAGTGGTACACTGTAGCAACAATGACAGAACAATGTTGCTGTGTGGTCACATCACTGACCTTGACTCCATAACTGGGCTGGCCTGGTTCTCCCATGTTGCCCTTTGGTCCAATAGGTCCCTGTCAGAAAATACAATGATTAGAAAATGTGCTGTCAAACATCAAACTAGCACTGATGTTTGGTTTATTTAGTCTTTCAGGGCAAATATCCACCACACTATGACATCCACACTTGTTAGAACACAACCTTAGAAGAACTGTAGGATAACCTTAGAAGAACTGTAGGATAACATTAGGGAACTCAATGCTTACAGGGAATCCAGCTTGGCCAGGAAGACCAGCTCCGCCCTACAGAAAAGAAAAGAAAAGAAAGAACATCAAATCAGATTTTTAAAATGATTTATCGCTTTTTTTTTTACCTCTAACTTCCTTCCTACTGGACGCAGAGACATAAAAATGGTATCCACATGTTCTTCTGACTGGGGAAGTAGATAAAAGGCTTTACTGCCAAAATCCTGAAGTATCCCTTTAAGTAAAATCTATGTTCTGTGGTAGTGTGAAGGATTTCCATCATCTCCCCCTACAGAATCATTGTCCAATAAACTCAAATCTCTAAGGTATCATTTCTGGGATTTCGTCGCAGTACATGCTCTCAACAGGTTTTGCAACATAAGAACATTTGTTTCCTATGAGAACATCAATAAAATATCCAGATGAAGGAATAATGTAATTTATGAAAATTACACAGGCCCTTGGGAAAACGACTGTAAATTGTATTTCTTAAATGTGGGTTGTGTGATGCACTGTAAATGTAGCTTTGGCCTAATATAGGTGGAAGGTATGTAGCTTTATATGAATTACATACAACAAATGGAAACAGATGGTTACTGCCATCTCCATAGAGGTGTAGCCTAATCTTTGTTATAAAAGCAGGACAAGCATGTAATGAAGATCATATTGTCTCGAGAATTCTTCTCTGCTACACTTCCAATGCGTAATGAGGACCATATACAGGGGTTGTGTTCAGGCACGCGTAGCAAAACGCTTTGCAACGGAAAACAAAACAAGCGTTTCTTATTGGACAAGTTCAGGTAGTCCCTTACTATTTCAGTCGTTTTTCTTCCATTTGGTGCCAAATGAATATGACCCAGGGTTTGTAGTCATTGGTTTAATTTCATTGTGACTTATATAGTCCTTGATTGATTTGCAAGATGCATTTCAAACATTGATCAAATTGCATCAAACATAATTACTGCAATTGATCAATCGAGTTTGGCAAATTAATGACACAGTTCACCAATTTAACACTTAATTGTATCAAAAAGAAGTGTGTCCTGTAGGTCTTATAAAATTTGCTTTTAAGACTTTTGGAGTAACTTTGAACCACATAAATGATAACAGAGTGTTTTCTAACAGGACAAAACACCTACCTGGGGCCCGACGCTTCCAACACCATCATACTGCAGAGAGAGAAATTACACAGCTTAATGTCAATGCACCTTCAATCGTCCATGTTGGAGGAGGAGATATAGTAGAGCTAAAAGCAGATCACGCAGAAGGATGGGTATGTTTATTTCCAGACCCCTAACCCACACCACCTAGCCACTTCATGTAGATTTCAAAATAGTCGGATAGGTATAAGCAATAGGGCAGTAGATCAACCTTGCACATTGATAGGCCAGGGATTTTATTGTCGTTGACATATATCCAATCCCTTCTGATCAAAACAAGTTTCTACTTGGGGTAGGCGCTAGGAGGTAGTGTCTAGACTCTAGAGCAGGGATGGGCAACTGGCGGCTTGGTTTAAAAAAAAAAATGTTTTTAACCTCTGTTGGGGTCTCAACTTACTGTTGAGAGTTAGAATAATAAAATACACAAGGTGCAATTTCGAAATGTGGTTGTGCATCAGCAGTCACTCAATTAGCCCATGTCAGATATTTATTTTTTGATTGGTAAGTTAGTCTACTGGCCAGCTATCTAAACTTGTAGTAAGCATGGTCGAATTACCGACCGGGGTGGAGCCCATTTATCATCAGCTATCATATTAAAAACCGCAAACATTTGCCTCCACCCCTACGCAGACCCACGAGCCCCTCATGATGAGTTCCAATTTTTTGTGGCTCCCACCCCCATCAAAGTTGCCTATCACTGGTCTAGGGGGTAGTGTCTATGGGGGTAGGGCCTAGGAGTTGTTTCGGTACGGTGCCTTACACTGCTGGACGTCTGGTAGATGACTTGTCCCGGTGGGCCAGGTGGTCCAGGAGGTCCAGGCTGTCCGTTTCCATCGCGACCAGATTCACCCTAAAAACCCGACCCAAGAGAACATCAGCCTTGGGGACAAAGAAATGCTGGTGCTGAATCCATAAAAACCATGAGAGTGGGTGGAAGTTGCCCCTAATAACTGACACAGGGTCAGATATGTTCTCATCCCTCTGATGGTTAATTGCTAAACACATTGATTTCCTGGTAGATAGTTCCATTTCTGTGCACAATATCGGTGTTAAATGGTCTTGCTCTAGGCATGTAATTTAGCTTTTATTATGTCCCCTGAATTACATTTGAATTCTATGAACATTTGAAAATACTCACCCTTTCTCCTCTGTCCCCTCTGTCACCCTTTTGTCCCTGGAAAATTAAAAGGGAACCAGACAAAAAAGCATACATTTGTGAGAGAAAGTCCAATAGAAAGTCCCTTGCTGCTGAAAATTCCCCTACTTCTTTTTATTTAATTGTTGTCTTTTTGTGCAAGAACAGATTGAACAGATTCCATCTAGACAGGCTTTATTTTTCAGCACAGCTGCCCTACACACCAGTTGCATGTAATCAACTAATCATGACCTTCAGTCTGGAGCAGATGTGTTGGTGTTGGGCTGGAGCAAAAACCTGCACACCCAGAAGGTCTCCTGGACCTGAAATGCTGTTAACAGCTAGCTAGCTAACCCTAACTATGTGAGTTAGAACCCTTGTGTAGATATTGTGAGGTGGGTGTGTGGAAGAAGGTTCTGACATACATTAGGTCCAGGGAAGCCGTCCAACCCTGGTCGGCCATCTCTTCCCTGAGGTCCTTCACTTCCCTTCTCACCAGGAGTACCAGGGAAACCAGACTTGCCCTATCGAGTGAAATACAAGCCCTACGTTAAATTGAAACTGATCACAAAAGAGGAGGAATTCATGTTATAATATTTAGATGGATTGCATTGTATTGGTATGTCGAAACTTTTTTATTCAACAGTTTTTATTTCTTGACAAAATCATATGAAATTCAACCAAAGAGAAGCTCTTACTGGTAGGCCAGGGATGCCAGGAGGACCCTGAAAGTGAACAGAAAGAAATCAGAATCAGTGAGAAAATCTATGAAAATGGCCAAATTCATACACTGGATCTAAAAATGAATGCCAGCTGCATAGGACACCCACCTGTCGCCCTTCTGGCCCTCTGGCTCCAGGAACCCCATTGGCCACTCCCACACCAGAGCCTTCCATGTCATCCTTTACACACAGAGAGACAGAGAGAGACAGAGACAGAGACAGAGAGAGAGAGAGAGAGAGAGAGAGAGAGAGAGAGAGAGACTAAGTCTCTAAGGGCCGAATCCTAACTTCAGATTCGCACGTCTCCCATTGACATCAATCCATAATAACACTAAAGTCGGAGTTATGTGCGCGAATCTCATTCCTTCGTCCCTAATACAACCAGGATAATGGGCATTTCCATAACAACTCACGACACCCCCATTAATGTTCAAATAGCCTACTAAGGTTACCAAAACCCATTGTTGTACTAAAACTAATCAATACAATGTAACTGAATGTTGATGCAGCATTAGTTTACCACAGGGTACCGTTTACAGATCTGTGAGACTGGTGATACTATGAAACACTCCGTATTAACATTGGGCATTAGTAATCATGCATCGTAAAGACCATTGAAATAGGGAAAACCGTCCTTGGTGGGTACTCACAAAGCCAACGCGATAGCTTGGTCCAGGGGGTCCTGGTGGTCCGGGTTGTCCCATTGGTCCCATTGGTCCAGGGAGGCCAGCCAATCCATCCTGTCCTGGATGACCGGGAATGCCAGTCAATCCCTGTGCGCCCTGTGGAATGGGATGGAATGAAAGTCAAGATTCAAAAAGAGTAATTATCATATTGATGAGCCATTGTTCCACTCTTTGGCTATAGTGCTGCATCTGAGCAGGCATCCATTGTCAGCAATATGCAAAGAATAAGATCCAATCCACACACTACTAAGTAGGACACACTTCACACAGGTATTAATCAAATTGTAGGGCAACGTAAGCAACATTAGGAGAAACTGACCAACTGCAGGTATGGGACAGTTGAAATATAGTCCCCTAGCTTGAAACACAATTTAAAGTTCATACACACATGCCAAATGGATTCATTTTAGGCATTCTACATTCGTAACAGCAGTAGTTTTACAACTACATGTAGTACAGCATGTTAAAGCAAAGGCAGCACTACAGCAAAGGTTGCCAACTCTGGTCCTGGAGAGCTACTGGGTGTGCAGGCATTTGTTCCAACCCAGCAGTAAACTAGTTGATTATTTGAAAGAGGTGATTATTTGAAAGAGGTGTGTAGGTACTGGGCTGGAACAAAAGCTTGCGCACCCAGTAGCTCCCCGGGGGACTGGGAGTAGGAGACGTGGGTCGTGTTCATTAGGGCACGCAACAGAAAACGATTTAAAACATTTTGCAAGAAAAGTCCAAATAGCCCCTCTCTGTTTCAGTCTGTTTGGTACCTAATGAACACAACCCTGCCCTAAAGACACAGAAAGCCCACTCTGCCATGCTGGGGACCTGGTACCTCCTGCAGATTGGCAGGTGTAGGAGAGGACGATGACATATAGTAAGAGAACAGGTTGGAGAGATAGCTAGGAAGGTACGAGTAGAAGCTTTGCTGGAGAAAGAGAGGAAGAGATGGAAAGCTTGAGCCCTTGCAGAATACTGTACGTAAACCTCTAGCTTTTTTCAATAGGCCATTGAGTTTTACCACTGTGTTTTCCAATCTGACCTCTGTGTTTTCAATAGCATCTTTGATAAAGTAAAGTAAAGTAAAAGGCTTGGTACCCACCTTCGCTCCGACTGCTCCTGCAAGACCTAGTTG